TGCTGCTCTAGGGGTGGAGGGGGGCCTTCTCATTCTTTTCTAGGACCTCCCGTCCCGCAGGCTGTTTGGGCCTCGGCCCTATCCTCTGCCATTTCTCCTGTAAAAATGAAGCCCAAAAGCACCCTCATCTTTCCCACTCCTCAGGCCTGAGTTGGTTGGTGCCCACCGGTCCTCCTAGGCTCTGGGTGTGGGAAGCAGCTCTCGGGCCTGCCTCTAGGGGATTTGAGTCAGGGCAGACTGTCCTAGTCCATTAAAACTGCTGCATTAGCCAGGCGCACCTGTAATCCCAGTGGCTCGGGAGGCTGAGGCAGGAGGATAGTGAGTTCAAAGCCAGCCTCAGCAAAAAGCAAGGTGCTAAGCAACTCAGTGAGACCCTGTCTCTAAAGAAAATACAAAATAGGGCTGGGGGTGTGGCTCAGTGGTCGAGCACCCTGAGTTTAATTCCCCAGCACCAACCAACCAACCAAACAAACAAAACTGCCACATCCATGGAGATGGATCTCGGCACCTGCGTCTCAGGAGTTCACTAAAGCAAGACACTGAAATGTGGACGTCCTGCTGTCAGCATAAGGCTCTTTATCTCCGAGTTGTGAGAATTGCCCTGTCAGGACTCTGCTCTCCTGGAACGAGCAGGTTTGTGATGAGTAGTAGGGTTTTCCCCACCTGATGCCTCACCCTGCACCAGGGATCCGCCACCTCAGTTCATAAAGCCCTGTAACTGGTGACATTCGGTAAACTAACCCACTTTCCCAGGGTCTTTGCCGCCAGGCCATGCATTCAGGTGACCCTGATTGTGGGACCCAGTTTGAAGGTCTCATCAGACACCTCTGAATTCTGTGGCCACAGAAATATAGAGATTGGCCTGAGGGTCTCCTGCCAGGGAGAGGGGAGGCTCCGGGCCATGGGGGAGGCCAGGCTGAGAGGCCTGCGGCAGTCAGCTCTGGGGGCAGGGTCACTGACCCCATCTTAGGGAAAGGATAGACAGTGCCCCTGGTAATTGCTGGGGACTCTGATCTAGGCCTCCTCACGCCCAGCTCAATGTCACCAGCTCATGTCACCCAGCTCATGTCGCAGGGCTGTGCTGGTGCCTGCCAGCTCGGGGCCCACTGTGCTCTTCTCTTCCCAGCCTCATGAGGGTTTGCCATCGGTGTTGGTGGGAACATTCACCCAGGGATGACGCCAGTCAGCCCCCTACTGAGAACTGGTCGATGACTTGTACCAGCACAATACCGCCTTTGGGAGCTGCCCCTGCCCCGTCCCCAGCCTCATCTGTCCTTTGAGATGTTTGTTCCCCAATGGATTAGATGTCCACTTAAACCCAGGAGCAGGGGCTGGGGTTGTGGCTCAGTGGTAGAGCACTTGCCTTGCACGTGTGAGGAACTGGGTTCAAGTCTCAGCATCACATATAAATAGGGGAAGGTATTATGTCCATCTACAACCAAAAAAAATTAAAAAATATAAAAAAAAAACCCAGGAACAATGGCCTTGGGGTGGAGCCCAGTGGTAAAGCCTGTGCTTAGCCTGCTCAAGGCCCTGAGTTCAATCCCCAGCACCCCGCCAAATACACCCAGAGACGAGTGCCCTGAGTTTTATTTAACCCCCACAGTAAACCATATAACCTCAGGAAAGTCACCTTCCCTGATCAGCAAACTCAGCCTCTGTGAATTGGGGGTCTTGTGACTGACTGCCTGTCCCAGCAGGTGGGGGTGGATCTTAGGTGGCTTTATGGGTACGGTTTTCCTGTATGAAGGGAATGCATTTCTCGCTTCCCGTATTTGTCTTACATTTTGCCCTTTCAAGAGAATAGAGAATGGAGTTTGAAATCTGCCAGGCCCAGGGCCACTTTTGGAAGGTCTTAAGTGATGATCGTAATTTCTGGATTTGCTGGCTAAGTCAGATGCCCATCCAAGTGATTGACATGTAGAGGTGTCTTTGCTAAAAGACGAGATATGCAGCCCAAAGCCTCATGTTCTGTAAAACTGCACACTAAAAATAACTGAACGTGTGGGGAATACAGGGCCAGAGCAGACACATTGAGCAGCTCTGCTTGAGGAACTGACACCAAGGGACACACGCCAGCATTGAAGCCCGAATCTCTGTGTTTGCACTTAAGCCGGGCCGCTCGGGCCAGCGTCGGACTCACAGAGACAGGTGGGGGTGGGAAGTGGAAAGCACAGAGTTCAAGTCTTGCAAAAGTCATCTGCAGCTGGGTGAGCCACATCCCCAGCCCTTTTTATTTTTCATTTTGAGACAGGGTCCCACTAGGTTGCTGAGGCTGGCCTTAATTTGAGATCCTCCTGCCTCAGCCTCCTGGGTTTCTGGGATTACAAATGTGCAGCATATTTTACCACAATTTATTTTTAAAATGTTGTAGGACTTCATAACAAAAATCTGCCACCTCAAGAGGGATAGCTCGCATGGCTGGAGGCTGCTGATGCAGGAGATGC